TCTTATCTATTCTTCATTCCTTCTTTCCGCCTTTCGTTTATTTAGCCGTAAGTATCAATTGTGGGAAGTTGGCAAAATTGCCTGGCTTCAATAGCCCATCAGCGATCCTATCCTTTACGTTATATGTGAGGATTATTAGTTTATCCTTGCAACTTGCGGTAGAAGATCTCGGTTTTACGCACAAGTACATGCTAGCGTATTGGCCTTCGCTCCAAGGAAAACGAGCTTGTACCGCAAGCTCGTAGCGTGAAAACATTATACGTATCTCGTAGCATCGTGAGCACCAGATTGACAGTAGCAACGAGAAAATGTGGGACAATCGAACGTACATTAAAACGAACATGAAGCACGAGAAAATATTGTATAATATTTCATCATACTCCTCTGTGTATTTGTCTTTATGCATTTTCTATTCGCTTCCATATTATCCTTCCTTCAGAAAGACTTCTTGAGAAAGTGTACCACGAGACCGTTATAGATAATTATCATGTTTTCTTGTAAAAACTTGAATTTAAACTTTCTTAAGAAAACTTTTACGTAACACTTTCGTATCGTGACATGAAAAATTTTCATGCAGATAAGAAAATTGTTGTTTAATTGTCAGTACCGTAGGTTGAAAAATTGCGAAAATTTTTTACACAAACGTGCTGTCTCAATTGTCACTAGGCCTGAAGGTTAATCTAACGATACGAGAATTTCTTGTCACGCGAGTGTAGTTGAAATCATCGTGATAAGCTTTCACATTAACACAATACACATCGCTTGTACATATTTGTCACTTTTTTGAAACTGCAAGGAAACAGTTTCTACTCGAATAAGTCATACAAGAGTGTTCCTTTATAGCTTGGTCTTTGTTACAAATGATATTTCCTGTATTCTTCTCACAGACTTTATGTTTCCCTTTGATCTCCTTCGTTCCTCCCTATCTCGAATTTTGGCTGTAACACAAACAATATTCGAACATTCATAGCTACTTTATTGCCAGAAGAAGTAACAGCAGCCAAAAATGTATTCCGACCATTTGTCTTATACAAGATTACTCACTTTTATTGTAATAACATAAATGGATCCCCCTTTTTTGGGAGACATGCTCATACTTAATCAAGTTGCATAATTTTTTAAAATGAATTTTTCATAAACGCTCTTTAATAAATATTATAACTCTTTATAGATAATATTAAGCTATTCGAAAAGTTCGTGTCGATATTTAAAGAAAATTTAAAGGCAGCGAATTTAAATTTTTATATAAATTGTTTATCAACTTATTAAATTATATACGTGCTATTTTGTTCCATGCTTTTTCCCCATCTCTTCCCATTTTCATGCAACCTAAAAAATCCATTCCTAAAAATAGTGCACAATATTATACGTTTACGCCATTCGATTTCACGTACTTATTTCTTAGAGAATCAAGACAAAAATATCGATCCGATATAACTAGTTAGTAATTGAAGTGCTAATTAACGATTCTTATGCTTCAATCAATCCTGGAATTCTTTATCACTAAGTGATTTTCACACCCAGCTCACTGGAACTAAAACGTTTGTGAACGATCGTTTCAGGTAAAGGTGTAGTTAAGCTCGAAACAATAAAGTTTCACGAAGTTCTTGTTTAATTATAAGTTACTTGTTTCATTTAATAAAATCGAGTTATCGCCTGACTCAGTCACTTAGAATTCATGTTAAAAGATACTAATACAAATTCTTATTATTTTATACACCTCTGCGCGTTTAATAAATCGTTCAGAAGAATACATTTCCATGCGTTACTATTTTCAGTAAATTCAATTTTATTATAAATCGCAAATAATTGATATATACAGAGTGAGTGACTAAAATTATTTCCTGGTTATTGATTTCATTATTTAGCCTGACAAACACTTGGACCTGTCATATTAAATTTATTTAATGAATGTGTACATAATATGTTTAGATAAAATCATTAAATAACATGTTATTGTATCTGGTACTTCTTCTCACCCTGTATATACTCATAAAACTGTAACCATCGACTTATCTCACTGAGCCAAGATAAAAAAAATCGCGAAGTGACGTTTTCACTTCTCACTGCATCAGGTGTGAAATTCATAATAACGTCGTCGTTTTCCTTGACTTGTACCACTGGCGCGCTATCGAAAACAATTTCACCTGGTCCGAAGGCGAATCGATTTTTCCACCATACTTTCGCGCCGGTGAATCGATAGGCCTCAGGACGAAGGTCAGGTTTAGCTTCGTCAGGTCAGGATTCGGTCTCTAATTCAAGGGAAAATTGCTGGTAGGATCGCGTGACCGATTCGATAAAAATGTGCGCGACGTAGTGTAATCATAAATCCTGTAAACCTTTTCTGATACGCGAATGATCCATGTACAATCATGATCGTGCGAACCCTGACATAGGTGCGTTAATTGAAATAAATGTAGCGTTGGAAATAAAATGCAAAATGCTCTACAATGTCTAGGTAAAACAAAACACCTTTCATGCATCGAGTATGCTTTTAAAGAGTTTAATAGCTCGCTTAATTGCGATCGCTGCTTTTTATAGTAGCAAAAAGAGAGTATTATTAGTGTTACGTTCAAAGGAATTTGTAATATTGTCGCCGACGCATTTCAATCTAGACAGTATGTTACGCTCGTCAAGAGCTAGTAATTCAAATAATTCGAGGCTATAGGGACGGGAAAATCAACAAGCAGAAGAAACTCGCTGAATCTGTAATCTTTTCTTGTTAACGAGCAAACAGATAGGATGAAAGGGAAAGGGAGTTCATTTAATAATTGCTATTCCCATCCCATCTGAGCCCCAGGCGGTTTA